ACTAGCCAATAAAAATTCAAGTGTATTGTATATTTATTTATTAACTTCAAGTTTTACATAACAGAAATATTATTACAGGATATTTTTCAGAAAGAACTACACAGATTATAAAACCTAACAAAACGATGAGTCTAGTAGGTAATGTAGCACCTAAATTTCGTGATACTTTTCATATATCATCAAAAGATATATTAAGGTGGTTCCCTGGCCATATGGGTAGAGGTTTAAAACAAATGCAACAACAGTTGAAGAACATAGATTGTATAATTGAAGTTCATGATGCAAGAGTTCCAATTTCTGGACATTATGCAGATTTTAACAGGACACTGACTGGATTAAAACCTCATATTTTTCTATTAAACAAAGTAGATTTAACTGATAAGAAATTTAAGAATTCTATAATAGAAAATTTAAAGGAAAAGGGATTATCTAATATCTTATTTACTTCCTTTAAAAATCCAACATGTCAAGGTGTTAATGAATTGTTACCTTTGGCACAAAAATTAATGAAACAATCAAATCGTTATAACAGATCACAGGAGTCTTCATTTCAAATGATGATTATTGGTGTTCCAAATGTAGGAAAATCTTCACTTATTAACCGTTTAAGAAATAATAATCTTCGTAAGAGTAATGCAGTGCAAGTTGGTGGTGTTGCTGGTATTACTCGATCTGTATCAACACGAGTAAAAATATCAGAATGTCCAGATATCTATATTTTAGATACACCTGGAATTTTAGCTCCTAAAATAAATGATGTGAATACTGGTCTAAAATTAGCATTAGCTGGTTGCATGCAAGATCATTTAGTAGGACCAGAAATACTTGCAGATTATTTATTATTTTGGTTAAATAAACAGAAACAATTTGAATATGTAAAAAAATTAGAATTATCAGAACCACATGATAATATATCTCACATTCTTGTATACATTGCAGCAAAACTAAAAAAAACTCTAAGAGTAAAGAATTATGATGGTAAATGTATCATTAAACCAGATTTAAGGTTTGCTGCAGAGCATTTTATATCAATGTTCAGAAAAGGGGAGTTAGGTTACTATTGTTTAGATGAAGATTTATTAAATTTACCAGTAGAATAAAGTTCAAATATAAAGTATATAATTAGAAAAATGTCTAAAATTACTTTTAATAAGTTTAATTCTTATATACAAATTTTCATAATATTGTGTATATGGTGAGGAAGTTACACTTCCTTTCCTAATGAAACCATGTCTATTTTATATGTACATATTTATTTATAAAACTATTTTTATTGACTTTGTATAGTGCAAATTTTTATAAAGTTACTTTAAAACAAATAGTTTTAAGCAAAATGAAGTATAAATTACATTTTTGTTAATTTACAGAATTGCATTTATTTTTAAAAATATTACTTCAAAGATCACTTGTTTAGTGCACCCATTTAAATAATTTAATTTTTGTGTACTTATTCAAATGACACATTGTACATATCTATGTAAGGTATTCTAATAGTATGCCATTTATATGTAAATAAATAAACCAATAATTGCTAGTACTATTATATTATTGTTGCTTGTTTAAGATGTCAAATTCCCGTTATAATAACGTTATAGTTCCCCCATACATGCAAGTTCTGTTATGTACTTTCACTTAGCGTACTTTCTACGATGATATGAATGATTTTAAATTCTTAATTTGTAAAATCAAGTTTGAAATATTAAAGAAAAAATATTTAAAGTGGAAGTATCAGAAGTTAAAACTATGCTGTTGTATTTGAATCAATTCGAAGCGGAAGTTAATATTTGATTTGTCAAATACGTTTTACATATTTTGATTTGTCAAATACGTTTTACATATTTACTTAGAAATAACTTCATAATTGTAGTGACGATGTTTGCAAGATTGACCTTTTATCCAACGCTATTCTATAATGTATTAATGGAAAAAATTTCGTCAAGAAACTGGTACGATAGAATTGATGAAACTGTTATATTGGGTGCCCTACCATTTCGAAATATGACCAAACAGGTGTGTAATTTGTATTATACTTTTATACATAATGTATTGCATAATTTATATTTGAAAAATTGTAATAAAACTACACAAAATAAAATATAAATTACGAAAAAAATTAAATATTTAAAATTTTAGTTAACAATTGAAGAAAATGTTAAGGCTGTTGTATCAATGAATGAAGATTATGAACTATGGTTGTTTTCTAATACTA